CCCCAAAACCCCAAAACCCCAAAACCCCATACACATAGATTAATAAAATATTTCAATGAAATAGATAATAATTTGAAAATTTAAAAATTAAAATGAATTCTAACAATAGAAATCTACTTCAGAATAACAATACGTAAGCCAACACCTCTGCCTCCCAGCAGTCTCGAGTATATTCCTAAAATACTTCTGCCAATTTAAATTCATCAAATGCTTCATAAATTAGTTAAGCTTCGAGTTCAGTAAAACCGCTAGTGTTCTCAACAACTAACGTAAGTATCAAATAATTCCAAATAAAAAAACTCAATTCCCTTTTGTCAACTTGCTAAAATGTCTATAGAAAATAATTGTTCATGATTTGGGGACTAACATGCCTATTTCAATAATAGACAATCAAAGAGGTTGGAACATATGGCAAGCTAACTGGGCTCATGACAGTAATTTAATATCATTTAATCATCAATAGATAAGGTGATTGCACATTGCCAAGAGAATGATAATAGAATTCTTTTTAGCAAAGCTAATGATGGCAGTTTAATGAAGTTTTTCCATTTAGCATAAGAAGTAATTTAACCTCAATGAAAAAAATTCATAGGGTGTTGTTATAAGTAGCATTTGCTACTCCCAAGACTCAAGTTTTATAGCATATTGCTGCTCGGATGGCACTCTTGGTATCTTTAATCTAAAGACCAAGAAGCCAGAGTTATTTCATGATAATGGGCATATGCCAGGAATCAGGATGATCTCTGTCAGCATCAATTAAAATGATTAATTACTAGCCTCAGCTTCTGCAGATGGAATTATTTGTATTAGGCATCTCCAGGGTGAGTAAAAGGTTATGCAATTCCACGAGATTTAGGTAAGTTAGACATATTAGTGGCATTCAATGATAATTAATTTTATTTATAGAGAGTCACTGTTATATAATTTTCGCATGTCAAAGCCAACATACTGGCAACAGCTCATGAAAATGGGAAAGTATGTGTATTCGATGCTTCAACAGCCCAAAAGAAATGTGAATTTGAAAATGCCCATCAATAGTAAGTGACTGGCTTAGCTTTTTCTCCAGTCAATAATCTACTGCTTTGCTCTTGTGGACTAGATGGCAAAATTTAGTTCTTTGATATCTAGGGCGTTAAGAATGTTAAGACCATTGATAACTAAAATCCCTTAACAGCTATATCATTTTGCTTTGATGGTCATACTATAGCAGTTGGTTCTTTGAAGGGTAAAATCTATGTTTACGATCTTAAGGATAAGCAAAAGATTAAAAATGAGTTGAAGGGGCAAGATGGAAAACGTATCAACTGTTTATAGTTTATGAGAAATCCTGAAAAATTTGCGAATTCCCCAAGCTCAACCTCATACTTTCAATCAACTGCAGTAAACATAAGATCTTCTTAAGAAAAAATAGCTGTTACAACTGCAAAGGATGCATAGAACTTAAGTGGCATTAAAGGTGTACCTAGACCCCCTACAGCTACCACAAAATCTTCAAATAATTCAGTCGCAGGCTCTAGATCAAAAGAAAATACTCCACTTAGTCAGTAAAAGCTTAACAAATCAGGAAACAGCTTAAACTCTCAGCAGTCATAAAATATGGAGGAGAAGACTATTAGATACATCGAGGAGTAAAAAGTTAATAATGCTTAGTTTAAGATTCAGGAGTAACTTGAAAAGCTTCAGCAGACTTTCGAGTAAAGCAAGCAGGCTTTGAACCTTGGAACTTCAGGCAATCAAAGCTAGCAATAGCAATAACTTCCAATAAACAAGATAAACTTGAACTAACTGGGTACAGAATCATAGGCTAATAAACTAGGTAAAATAGATAAATATGCAAGGGATATTGGTGGAAATAATACCATTAGAGAGGATGATGAATTAATGGAAGAGCTTAGTCTCAAGAGGAGAAATTCAAGGCCCACTCATTTGAGTCATGAGACTAAGGTTTACATCGATAAGGTGTTTCAGGATCAGGCTGAGTAGATCAAGATGAGCATTCAATAATCTATTAGCAATTTACATATTGAACTCATTAGGAATTTCACCATTTAAGAGAACGAGTTAAGGATGAGTCTGGGAGATTTATTGGAAAGGAATAAGAGAAAAAAGTAGGAGTTGAGATATCTAAGAAAGGAAAATAAAAAACTAAGGCAAATTACCTACTGATGGTAGCAAGCAAGACCTGGAAGTTCTATCTAAAACTTGACCCACTTTGTACAGGTTTTATTTTAATAGTGTTTAAAGTTTAATAATTAATTATATAAAATAAATAAGTTCATATAAAGTATATATAGCAAAAAGAACTATCTCTAGAGGCTTGCTTCCTCAACATTATTATGATAATCAATAGCAGCATCTGTGGTTATTTAGCATCAAAGCTTCCTCAGACATCTTCAAAGTCTCTAGTCTTTTCTTACCTTTCTTCACCAGTTCACTTTACACAATGAATATTCCTGTTATGTTTGATTAATAAATAAATGCTTGATTGAATGTAAAATTTACTCTCAAATAAAGTGTCCATGACCTCCTTGATGTTTTAGTTGGCTTATGAAGATGACTCTCCCACGAATATCAAGTTGTTTTCCCTTGCGAATTTCTCAGCTAATTCTCTCGGAACTTCTCTTCGACTTTGATTTACATGCAAAATATCTGCTTTATTTCCTATAAGACCGTAATTAATTAGCTGATTGGCCAAATTAAGCAATGAAGTCTTACCAACAAGTGCTATTACTACATTATCGTCTGCATAAGTTTTTATATTTTCCAGCCAGTACCTGCAGTTCTTGAATGTATCTGCATTTGATATGTCGTACATTAAAACAGCTCCAAGTGCGAATCTGTAGTGACCAGTAGTAATTGATCTGTATTTCTCAGAACCAGCTAAATGAATTTTAATAATATGTTTATGTTGACAATTATTTTTCGTTCAACTTACAAGTATCCCAAATTTATGCTTTAACTTTGGTTTTATTTTTTAAAGTTGCTACTTTATATGCAAACTCCACTCCAATAGTTGAACTAACATTCTTGTACTTATCTTTGACATATCTATGAGTTAATGTAAATGACTGATTAGTTCTAATTTAACAGAATACCTTAAAAGGAAATTAGACTTTCCCACACCAGCATCTCCAGTCAAAATTACTATAATAAGCATAAATATATATCGAAGTAACTACTCTTGTAAAAATGATCATAGTGCTCTGTGTCACCTGCTCTCTGTCTGTATTCATTCACTCTTTTTTCTTAGGAAGCTGAAGCTATTGTCTCTGATTCTCTATTAGAAGTCGCTCCTCTGTAATTCTTTTGAGATTCTACCATTATTCTAATAAAATTTCGATTTATAATTTATAATTTCACCGTTGCAATTGCTATCCTCCCACATGGGGTTTTGGGGTTTTGGGGTTTTGGGGTTTTGGGG